AGTGCAGATTGGTGGTGGAGGGCTGGGTGGTACAGGCTGTAGAAATGGCGCCTGTCGGGGATAAATGAACCCATCTGACAAGGAACAGGCCTGTGGAGGTGGAAGACAGTTCCCAGCCATGCTGGGTGCATTTCTGTTGAGTCAACCACTCGATCGGGGTTGACTGCCACCAGGTACCGTGCTCCTGTGCTCGTGAATCTTCCCAGCAGCCTTTGACAAGAGGGTTATTCTTGCCAACTGGATATGATAGAGTGATGTACAGAGGTTTAGGACCCCCCCTCACCAAGGTCCCATGCAGAGCTGTGCAGACAAATCTATTTCACCCCAGATCTCTCCCTACAGGCCTTGTTTGGGGACCTTTTTTTCCCACTCCATCATAAATATTCGCCGGGTGTATGCACACATGGGCACTTGGGATAGAGAAAGTAGTCCATAGGAGTCACTGAGCTCTGGTGTCTAGGTTTGACACACCTCCATCACTTTCCACCCGAGGGTCTTCAAGTGACTTACTTCTCCTTTCAGAACGACCATTTTGTCATCTATAACATAAACATTCATCTACAACATTAATGTACCTGCTGTGGAACACGTATGTACTCCTGGTAGGTAAATTCACACTGATTGACATAGGAACCCCAGGCTTGGCACACAATAGGTGCTACATAAGTGGCCTCTAGTGCTCAGTAACAGGTAAGGAGACTGTTTAGTACAGCCTCCCCTCCCCTCCCTCCACATCTGTGGCTTCCATGATCTTGCATTCAACCAACATTGGATAAAAAACACTTGGGAAAAAAATGCACTTGTACTGAATGTGTACACACTTGTTTCTTTCCATTATTCCCTAAACAATATAGTATACACCGACTTCCATAGCATTTTCATTGCAGTAGGTATTCTAAGCAATCTATACAGGATTTAGAGTATATGTGAAATGCTCCCAGGCTATATCCAAATATTGCTCCTTTTTATATGCAGGATTTGAGCATCTGTGGGTGGATATACACAGGGATCCGGGATACTTAGGGACAACTGTATATACTGAGCTTTAGAATCCAGGGTGGTAAATGTCAAAACGGTTGCCAAGGGAGTTAGAAAGAAGTGCCTTCAAACATTTTTCTTGCTCCAGTAATCTGAGGTTCTGGAAACCCAGGGAAGTCTTTGCTGCTGGTGGCTAGAGGGGTCAGGAACAATGAAAATGAGGAGGACGGGTGAGTAGTTTGCTGATGTGGGGACAATGAGCCACCTGTTCCCATGATGAGTGTCCATGAAAGAGTCTGAGAATGTCTCCCCCAGCTTCCCAGGCCCAGCCTCAGCCCTGGACACATGCCGTTGCAGGGAGGGGCCAGGACTATTTGCTCTGAGCTCAGAACAGTCAACAGCCATGAGGGCGAGAGCCAGGGGGAGACGCAGCCCTGGGCAAACTCAGGGCACCGCAGAGAACACTGTGGTGAGCCCCTGGGTTCAGCCTGTGGCCCAGCAGGCTGCTGGCTGATTGTCCAGGACCTATCCAGCACCCCCTGGCCAGGAAACCGCCAGCCTCGCCCCTCCCACCCCTTCAGAGCCCCCCCCCCTTGCTGACTGGCTCACTCTTAAAAGAATGCGGATTAGTGTGAGGCTCAGGAAGTGGGGTGGGGTGGTAGAAGGATGGAAAGAACATTTCATAGGTCGATGGCATCAGATGTTTAGTTTTTGCGGTGTCAGAGCCACAATATGAAAAGTCATTGTTTTCTCTTTTGCATAAGTAAAAAGAGCAGAGACTTTAAAACCAAATGCATCCCGGTCTCACGAAGGGGTTAGCCATTTTCTGGCTGTAACTCCGAGGAGCACTTCACTTTTAGGACCTACGTCTTCCTCCACAAAATGAGCATCATATGACATCTCATAAGATTATTCTAAGGATGAAAGGGAAGAGCAGAGACCAGAGGCGGCAAATCCAGCTATAGCACATGCATTGTTAGCCCACACAGTACATTTTTAAAATTTAAATTAGTTGCCAAGATTTAAACGTGGGGAATTTCACATAAAAATAAACCTCTTTTTTCTCTTGGAAAAAGTACAAGACCTGGCAGCCCGGTCCTGCAGCCAGTACATAGCAGCCCTCAGTTACAGTGTGGGTCTCAGAGCAGCCTGTGTGAGAATCACTTGGAGGGCTTGTTCAAACACTGGTTGCAGCACCCCACCCCACCCCCAGAGGTTTTGCAGTTTTTTTGGTTTCTGTTTTTATTTTTGATACTGGAGTTAGAACCCAGGGGTGCTTTACCACTGAGCTACAGTCCCCATTCCTTTTTATTTTTTATTTTAAGACAGGGTCTTGGTAAGTTGCCGAGTCTTGCTAAATTTCTGAGGCTGGCCTCAAACTTTCGATCATCCTGCCTCAGCCTCCAGAGTCACTGGGATTATAGATGTGCACCCCTGTGCCTGGCACTCCCCTGAGTTTTGATTAATAGGCCTGGGATAGAAATGTGCATTTGAGAGGTTTCCAGGTGATACCGCTAGTTAAGAGACCACACTATGAATGTTGTGACCTAGAGTTAAAAGAAGCCACTCTCTTTATGAAAGAAGCATTCTTTCCATTTCCCCATCATCCCCACCATTCCTTATTGTCTCACATGCCCTGCCCCCAGCTACTTCAGTTGGTATTACCTGCTTGTCCAGAGAGGGCATTTACCTTGTAACCTGTGGATGAGCATGGAGTAAGCTTGCATGTATGTAAAAATCTTACAGAGTATCTTACAGGTAAAGAAGTGGAGATTCAGGTAGACAAAGTGATTGGCCCAAGGGAACACAGCCAGTCCATCAGAAGGAAGATAGCAATACTTTTTGCTCATGCAGTCCCAGTTATTTCACTATCACACAAACAAACACATTTGCACACACAGAATTATCCAAGGTTAAAATAGATGATACATCCAAAACTTTGGACATGACTTCATGAGTGTAAAGCAATATTTATCAAGGAAGAAGAGGAAGGAAATAGTAAAGAAGGAAAAGTTTATAAAGGGAGGCGATGTTAGTCACCTGTGGCCACGCCTACTCTAAAGTGACCGTAAACAAGTTAATGGTGAAGATTTGAGAAATTCCCAGGAACTAACAGCTGTCTTTAACTATACAATGGAGCCTTGTCCTCTTGAACTGTTGGACTCAATCAAATTTCATTTTATGGAAACTTCTCTCTCTCCTCTCTTTCTGGGGAGATTGGCTATTTTGTTTTGTCATCTACCATCTGTTTATCCTTTTTCTGATAAAGTGCCCTGATCTGGGTTTGGCAAAGTGAAACTTCGTCTACCAGGATAGTAGGGCAGGGGGGCCTGTCAATCAAAGTGCCTGATCTGTCCCCACAGAATAGCTGATCAGATGTTGTCCCTGGAATTTTCATCTTGAACAAGGAAGGACCTGGGCTCTTTCAGAGGTGCCGGGAGAAGGCCTCAGTTCTTCCTTGTTTACCATCCTTTCCAAACCAGGTTCTCTTAGGTTTCCCTTCAGTTCTGTGAGCTAACCCCAATCAGTTAGTGCTATTGGTTGCAAGTATTCGAATTCAGCCCTAGCTAACTTAAAGGAGCTGTTGGGAAGAGAGAATGGATACCCAGTACATCTCCGCACCATTGTCCTAAGTTTCTTTGTTGATCAGTGCAAACGTAGCAACTGCAGAAGTAAAGAGGTGTTTATTTGAGGTCTTTGTAATTGTAACTCAGGAGACACAGGTTCAGAGAGTTCTGAGTCAATGTTCCAAAGAAGTCAGAGCTTAAATGGGCAAACAGTAGAAAGAGGTAGAATCTCTCTGTAGGGAATTCTATTGAAATTGAGAAAGATCCGGTACTGAATAACAGAGGCTAGGGTAACCCATGGAAGATAAAGAAAAGAATGTTTATGCTTAGTTAAAACTGTCCATAAAACAAAGGTCCAGAAACCTCTCGATAGGCACGTTGAGTCTCCGGGCACAATGCAATCACCTGTTCAAGATGCCTGCAGTCAAAGGGCAAGGGTGACCAAAGTTCACATTCCTAGCACCAGTTTGCAAAGTGCACAGGGACAGCTTCCCAGTGGCCTCCTGAGTGCATTTCGAAAAGCTCCTTCAATGTTGCTTTCATCGTGAATTTCAGTACCGTCTCGGCTTACTATAGCGAGTTGGTTTCTGTTGCTAGCAACCAAAGTGTGCTGACCCCCTATACCCAGGCCACCATTAGGCTCCCCATTTCTAAATTCAATGGCTTTTTCTCCAGCCTCCATCCTCCTCTACTTCACAGTAAGGCCTTTGTGGAATGTGAAATAAATGTAACAATGTTCAAACCGAATCCTTTATTAAAAAAAAAAAAAAAAGTTGTTTCACATGGTTTCAGTGCAAAAATCCACGAAGAGCAGAGAGCTTCGTTATTTGAAGTATCTTGAATCTCCTCTTGTGGCTCTCCAGGGCCTTTAAGGACAGTTTTAAACCCTCTTGTTTGGAAGACAGCTTTGCAGTCAGAGTCTTGAGTTGCCAACTCCTGCCATCGTAGGCTGGGTGACCTTGGAGAAGAGGTTAGCCCTCTGAGCTCCGGCTTCAGGAAGATCTGTGCGCCACGACTCAGTAAGTGGTCATGGGTGTCCCTGTGTCACACCTCGCTACCCCTCAGGGATTCTCTCCACTCCTGACTTCCACCTCCACCAGAGGACGGGAAGTCCCTCTGCCACTGTTGCCCTCTGTGGCATCCAGCCATCCCTTCACCTCCTCTGGGCCTGTTTCCACTTATGTAATGAAAGACCCTAGCCCAGTCAGCCCAGTTACCTAAGGCCAAGATATGAAACCAAGATACCAGGCACGCCATAAACAGGTTCAGGCGCCAGGCATGCTCTCCGGACAACCAGTTGAAGAACAGAGCACCTGCATCCTGAGGCATGAATGAATAAACCGGAACAGATAAGCAGGAACAGAAAGAATAGAATGCAGACCTGTGGTTTTTGGAATGCAGACCTGTACCCCCTAGGTGGCCTATATGCTAGATTTAAACAAACCAATAAGAAACCTGTTGCTTCCCGCGTGCGCGAAACCTGTCCCAAACCCTATAAAAATCTCTGTATCCCCAAGCCCGGTGTGCCAGTTCACCAAAGCTCCGGCTGAGGTTCTGCTGGGCACCCGCAGGCGCCTGTGTCCCAATAAACCAACAACCTCTTGCTTTTGCAGCCAGTGTTTCGTGTGATTCTCCTTGGACAGGGATACGGGGGTCTTTCATTGGATGGGGGTCTTTCAGTAAAATGTGGGCACCTTTAAAGAGCTGTCTGTGATCATGATATAGAGCACCAGCAATGTACCTGGCACATAGTAGGTGCTCAGTCTGTGTCGATTTCCACACCCAACCCCTTCTCTGAGTCTGGGGTACTCAGTATCTTTTCCCTTCTCCTTCTTTCTGCCTCAGTGGCGGGTTTGCCCACTGTGGGAGCATTTCCGCTCGGGTGTCCTGTCTGCCCAGCTCAGCACCTTCCTCCGTCAAAGCAGCTGTGGCTCCTGCCTCATGTTTTAGGACCAGAGGTCCACATCACATACCACGTAGACTCCTCCTCTCCCTCCCGGCCTGTCCTAAGCCCTGTCTTCCTGCTGCACGTCTCCCCGTCCGTCCGCCTTCCCCTCTTGCCTCTCCTGCAGGACGAGCGCTCCTTCCCTCCAGCCCGGGTGATGGCATCCCTGTGTCCCCCTTAACTCCCTGTGTCCTCACTTAGGCGCCCCACAGGCCCCCCAAGACAGCACCCCCAAGGCCACATTCTCAGCGCCTTCACCTGCTTCTTCCCTCTCAGTGAACGACAACCCCGTTTCCCTGTCCTCGGCCACTCCCTCTCTCTTCCCCAGAGCAGTGTGGGCAGCCCCGCTGGCTCTGCCTTCAGTTCTGCGAATCCTTCCAGAATCCACCCTGCCTGCCTCCGCCATCCCATCTGGTCCAAGCACCTCTCCCTTCCCCCCGCCTTCCTTCTAACCCTCCTCTGCTGCCTCCAGAGCAGTGCTGTCACCCGGGCCAGACCCTGTGCTCCTCCGTGCCACACCCCCGTGGCTCCCGTCTCATTCACGGGCCACCATGGCCCATCCGACTGACCAGCCCCACCCACAGCCACTTGTCCTCCCTACACCGTCCAGCCAGACTGGCCCCTCGCTCCTCCTGAAATCCGCCTCACGCTTTGTCCCTGCTGGTCTCCAGCTGCCTGAAACCCTCCTGCCCCCCCACCCCAAAAGCCGCTCAGACGTCCTCAATAAAGCCCTTTGTTTGTGATGATCCAGTTTTAAGCGGCAGCCTCTGTGTTTCCTCTCCGGGTTCGCCTCCTCGGGAGCTCTCTCACCGTCGGAGGGAACACCTGATTTACATCTGTTCACCTGGCTGCGTCTCACTGTGGGAGAAAAGCTCCAAGAGGGCCCAGGACTGGTTTCATTTCGTTCCTGCTACACCCCAGATCCTAGGAGGGCCCTGGAGGAGGACGTGGTACCTGGAAAGAAAGAGTAAATATCGTGTCCTCGGTTGGTCTTCCACAGGGCAGCTGCAGGCTACTGTCAGGTTCCGTCCACCAGGGTCTGTGCAGTTCGGCTCCTCCAGGGACAGCTGCTGGCCTGTGGGACCAGATCCCAAGTCCTACCCTGAGCCACACACCCCACACACACACACATACACACACACACACACCCACACAGACACACACATACACACACACACACAGATACACACACACACATACACAGACACACACCCACACAGATACACACACACACACACACTCACACACATACACAGACACACCCACACAGATACACACACACATACACAGACACACACCCACACAGATACACACAGACACACACACACACATACACAGACACACACCTACACAGATACACACAAACACACACACACATACTCACACACATACACAGACACACCCACACAGATACACACACACATACACACACACCCAGACAGATACACACACACATACACAGACACACCCACATACACAGACACACCCACACAGAGACACACACACACACATACACACACACATACATAGACACACACGCACACATACACAGACACACACCCACACAGATACACACACACATACACAGACACGCACACACATACACAGACACACACCCACACAGATACACACAAACACTCACACACATACTCACATACACAGACACATACCCACACAGATACACACACACATACACAGACACACACTCACACAAATATACACACACATACACAGACACACACCCACACAGATACACACAAACACACACACAGACACAGACACACACACACACATACACAGACACACACCCACACAGATACACACACACACATTCGTTTCTATCTCCCTCTCTGTTTCTCGGTCCCCTCCCCAGCTCTGTGGGTCCCCACACTCTTCCTTGACATCGCAAGCAGGTCCCCGACAGGGCCTTTGCACTCGCTGCTCTCTCTGCCCGAATTCTCCTCCACCAGGGGAGTCACTAGCCTTGACCTCCTCCCTCTATTCCAGCCTCCGCTGAAACAGCATTTCCTCAAGAGGACTTTGCTGGCTACTCTGCTTTATTTCCTCCAAAGTGCTCCCGCAGGCTGTCACACCACATAGCTGTGGATTCGCTGTTCTCTCCCTGCTAGAATCTTAACTCTGTGCCAATAGGAATGCTGTTCAGTTCTCTGCGTGTCCCTAGCCCCTGTGTCTGGCACTTCCTGGTAGTGACACTCAATAAATATTTGTTGGGTGAATAAATGGAATAAACTCATTCTAAAAATAACACTCATCTTACCAAGTTCCTCCTCTGATCTGCCACAAGATATTGATTATCTCTTAAACCAGAGAACAAGTCCTCCAGGTGGCTATGTTTACCTGCCAGGTTCAGGAAGACCAAGAGGTCACAGCCTTCGCCCAGGACTCAGGCATGACAGGGTGACTGAGCTGCGATGCAAAACTAGTTCTGTACCTAGGAGACTTGTAAAGACATCATGTTGACTCCACCCCAGGCCAAACCGTCTCCGAGGGCCCTGCTCTGTCCACGGGAACTCCCTGACTGTGAACTTGACAGGCTTTCCACTGCCTACAGGACAGACCAAGCTCCTTAGCCTGAGAAGGTGCTTAACCATGGAGCCATATTCCCAGCCCTTTTTACCTCTTTATTTTGAGACAGAGTCTTACTAAGTTGCTTATGGCCTCACTGAGTTGCTGAGGCTGGCCTCAAACTTGTGATCCTCCTGCCTCAGCCTCCCCAGTCACTGGTGAGCCACCACACGTGAACCGTTAGCCCGACTTTTTATGGGAGTCCAATTTTTACTTCCAGCCACATCCCTTGCTCTGTCCTGCACAGACTTCCCTGGGGGTTCATTGTCCCATCAGATGTTCCTTAATGGAGCCGACCCCAGAGTCTTCTTTCCTAACAGCCTCCAGCAGCCAATACATAGGAACTTACAGTCAGATTTCCCCGGAGTGTGGAGGAAAAGTCCATCATGGGGCAGAATCTATGCAATATGCAGCAGGTAAGCTCTGGTTTTTATGGTCTCACCCTGAGGGCCAAGACACAAGAAGGTAAGTCAGTTTCCACCTGTGGACTGGGGATTTTCTTTTGTACAAGATTTGACCCCTCCCATTTAATTCACTCATTAAACAAATATTTACTGTGCCCTCCACACATCCGATGCCGTCGAGGGTGTTGAGACGACAACGTGGCAGATCACATTTCTAAAGACTGTGGTGACCTGGTCTCTCATCTCGTACCTCCTCTGCACACGACCGAGCCCTCCCTTCTCCACTCACTGAAGTCCAGGCACGAACTCTGAGTGCTGCCATCAGCTGACCACTGCAGAAGTCACACGTGCCAGTTGGGTGGTGTGCCTTCACTAGCCTGGTAGTTCCCGTTTCCTGCCTCTGGGGACACCAGCTTTGGGGGCATACACAGCTTTAGGGACATCCCTCTCAGAATCCAGCCACCATCCTGGGAGATGCCCGAGCTCGCCAGGTGCTCCTTGGTGACCGTCCCAAAGGAGCTTCCCACCAACAGCCAATGCTCATCTCACGAGGGAGTCGGCTTGGGGTTCAAGCCCAATCAAGCCTTCAGGTGACGTGGCCCCAATAAGTCGTCACTTTCCTGCCCCTCTCCTTTCCCCCTCAGTGCTGCTCGGGGTGCACGGAGCCGGCTCGGAGCTCTGAGCTCTGGTTCCTGCTGGTGACCACAGTGGCTCCCTGCAGCCATCACGGTCATCTGCCTGGACCTCACGGCATGATGTGTTCTCTGACATTCACATGGTCCAGAGGACCACAAAGGGTGAGCCTGGAGACAGAGGGGGAGGGCCAGCAGGACGGACAGCCACACACAGGACGGACAGCCACACACAGGACACACAGGACACACTCGCGGCTGGAGCAGCCTCTGCTGAAAGTCCCCCAGAACAAGGTACCAGAACACAGTGACCACTGGTGCTGATAGCGTCAGCACCATCTCTACGGGAAAGCAGCCTCCCCGAAGAAGCCTGTGCGGAGAGCGTGGAAAACTGGGCTGGAGCGGGGCTCAGAGCGCTCGCCTGGCACACCTGAGGCTCTGGGCTCCACCCTCAGCACCACATAAAAATAAAGTCAAGGTGTTGTGTCCACCTACCACTAAAAGAAAGACACACTGGGGAAACTGCAGGAAATCTACCAGAGCAGAACTGAAGGCCCCAGGCCCAAGGGTGACACCTGCTATTGACAAGCTGCCGAGCAGATCCCGCACGTCCTTGCTGATTTCAAAAAGGACTGGATCTTGGTTGGTGAGAACGTGAACCCAGGTGACAGGCTTGCTCTGCTGGATGACGCAGAGGACATCGTGACCCCTGAATCTGACTTTCTTTAAGGAGGGTTTAGAAATGGGAAACATTAACCGATTTGGCAATCACTGTGGACGTGTCACCTGTCACCACGCTGGTTGCTGCTTGTCATCATGCCACACAGGGACTTAGTGCAAAGGGCACCAGTGTCATCTCGAGCTCCTTGTTTCTTTTGACCATGATTTCTTTGAAGTGGAGGCATTGGTTTTAAGGGGCAGAACATGCCATGTATGTTGTCCAAAAAATAAAATTCACTTAAACCCGTTTGAGAGCACGTCTCTTAGCTTAACACACACTTACCCTAATCTGGAGGAGCGAGAGCCTGGTGACCTCTCCTGGGAAACAGAGGCTGCTGGAGACAAACAACAGTCAGAACTTTAATTCTGAGTTCTGGTAAGCGAGAGGCCAGGCTCACAGCAATGCCAACATTTTAAGCCATGCCTTATACATTGTATCACCCGCCACAGAGGTCCTTAACTCTGGAGACATGACCAAAGGAATCAAAAGAGACAAATCCAGCTAGAAATAATAGTAATGAATTGTTGTTTTAAGCTACTAAGGTTTGGGGGGTCTCCTTACACAGCAATAGATGACCAAGACAGTGATAAATCAAAAATAAGATCTCGACTCTCAGGCTGGGGGGGTAGCTCGGTGGTAGAGCACTTGCTTAGCACATGTGAGGCACTGGGTTCGATCCTCAGCACTGCGTAAAAATACAATAAAATTAAAAAAAAAAACCTCTACTGCCATAAACCAAACTCTCTAGTGAAGAAAATAAGCAAAAAATTAGTAAATGGAAAATATCAGATGGGAGTGGTGGTGCACACCTGTAATCCCAGTAACTTAGAAGACTGAGGCAGGAAGATCACGTTTGAGGTCAGCCCCAGCAACCCAGCAAGACCCTATGTCAATTTTTTTTTTTTAGTTAAAGAGATGGGGCTGAACACAGTGGTGCACATTTGTATTCTCAGCAGCTCAGGAGACTGAGGAGGATTGTGAATTCAAAGTCAGCCCCAGCAACTCAGCAAGTCCCCAAGCAACCCAGCAAGACCCTGTCTCTAAATAAACTATTTTAAAAAGGCTGGGATGCGGCTCAGTGGTTGAGTGCCTCTGGGTTCAATCTCCAGCACCAAAAAAAAAAAAAAAAAAAAAAAGTTGCAGACACGGATATGTGCTATAACGAAAATGAAGCAAGGTCACATTATTGTGAGTAGGGGGAAAGGGATCCAGGAAAGGGTGGGGTGAGATGTCCTTGCATACAGTCACCTGGGGGCAAGGGTTATGGGGTCCACAGGCTTCAAGGCAGGAACAAGGCTGGTGAATTCCAAGAACAGTAGGAAAACCAGTGTAGCTGGAACCCAGTGAAAGGAAGTGAAATCAAAGAGCTGAGCAGGGACAAGGTTGTGTGTCTGGCCAAAGGCAATGACAAGCAGCACAGATGTCTTCCAGGAACAATGGAGGTCGAGGGTCAACTTGAGCTGGGAGGCTGGCTACGAAATCATCTGCTTGATCATCTTCGAAAATCACTCCAGCTGCTCTGAAGAACAGATTATAAGAGGGCAGTCACAGGAGGGGAAATTTTGGAATCACAGGAGGGGAAATTTTGCCGTTGCCTTGGCAAAGGATTGACAGTGATGGCTCCTTTGATTCAGCAGAGGATGATGGATCCCTTGGCGCTGGTCAGTCTGGAAGAGAGGTGTGATTTCTCAGACTTGCCACCCTAAGGCAAAGTCACAGGGAGCTGAGGGGTCACTGATTCACCTGTTAGCAGGATGCCAATCTCCCGACCCCGACTCTGGCCACTCCTGGGATTGGAAAGATGGGCTTCCCTGTAATCACCCTGAAGCCGCCTCCATCCCAAAGGGAAGCTGCTGGGAGCCATGAGATCTTCTCTCCCTATAGCACGAGGGCAGTGGCAGCTTTGAAACATGACCACAAACGTTTTGGCCCTCCTCCAACTGAGAGATGGGCTCTCTGTCTCCTTCTCTTGAATCTCGGCAGGTTTGTGAGTGCTTCAACTAACGGAGGACAAGTGATATTCCATGACTTCTGAGGCCAGCTCAGAAAAGCTCATGCAGTTTCTGCCCTTTTGAAAGAAAATGTAAATGTTAGCTGGACGCGGTGGTGCGCACACTTGTAATCCCAGTGGCTTGGCTTGGGAGGCTGAGGCAGGAGGATCTCGAGTTCGAAGCCAGCCTCAGCAACTTAGCGAGGCCCTGAGTAACTCAGTGAGACCCTGTCTCCAAATAAAATACAATAAAGGGCTGGGGATGGGGCTCAGTGGGAATGCCCCTGGGTTCAATCCCTGATACCCAATCCCAAAAAATGAACACGGTTGTATTGTTTTGATTTTCAGACTATGCAAATATATTCTTGCAGTTCTTCAAAAACTTAAATTTAAAAAAAGGAAGCATATCAGAACGCAATCAGGTGACTTGGACATTCTTGCTGGGGCCACAGGTGTGGACTGCTGTAGAAGTCCTAGGATGCCACAGATGCCCCCCACCCCGCTTTTTCTACTTTTCCAAATCAAGTCCCGCCCCCAGGGGTACAACCATGAAGTCAGTCAAGGTCCCCCTGCAGAGTCCTCCCTTCCTGGGGATCTATGAAGCGTGCCAGGGGTGATTAGGTCCAAGCTAATTAGAAAGGATTCCAGCTTCAGTTCATGTGTCAGTTCTCTTCTGATTTTTTCCTGAGGCAGCAGGGCACAGAACCAAGAATAGACTCTCTAGCTCACTGCCTGCACTCAAAGTCCGTGGCCACTCAGTGGCTGTGTGACCTTGGGCAATTCGTTAAACTTCTCTGAGCTGTAGCTTTCTCATCTGAGAACCAGGGGCAGGACCGCTTCTCTGCGAATTCTTAGGCACTCTGAGGCCAGAAAACCTCTGCATTTGGAGCAAGTCCTCAAGAAATGGGAAGAAAGATGCCTTTCATGTCCTTCCAGTGAGCCCAAGAAAATCAAAATATTAGAGGAAAAACACATTTTGACTCACAGTGTCTGAGGGTTCGGCCACAGCTGGCTGCCTTGCTTTGGGCCTGAAGAGAAGCAGAACTTGGTGGCAGAGGGGCATGAAGGGTGGAGGGAAGCTGTCCAGATCACGGCAACTGGGAAGCAGAGACAGGAAGGGGCCGGGAGAAGACCACCCTCCCGGGGCAGACCCCTGCCTCCTCCAGCACGTCTCACCTCCTCGCAGTCCACGCAGGTTCCAAAGGCGGAGCCCACTGGCAGCCAGAGCCCCACGATGCAGCACTTTCCCACCCTGAACCTGCTGCCACGCTGGGCAGGCCTTCCACACGGGGGCCTTAGCAGAACAGTCCGGATCCCAATCCAACCACCCCACCCCACCCCGGCTCCGGGGCCTGCTCAGCCCACTCAGGCCTGGACCTCCCTCACTCCCTCCCCGCCAGCTCATGATGCCCCCAAATAATTTTTCTCTGCCTCCTAAAGTCAGGAGTGACGGTTCCTCTGCCCGACCTCCCGAGGGAGGCTGTAGACACCGTCCTGGACGTCCACCCGTGGCGGTCCCTCCTCCTCTCTGATTGCTTTAGTCAGCCTGTCCGCTGCCGTGACTGACAGACCCCACCAGCACAACCACGGAGGAGGGGAGGGTCACTGGGGGCTCAGGGTTGCGGAGATGGAAGTCCGTGGACAGCAGACTCCTTGCCTCGGGCTCAAGGTGAGGCAGGACGTCCCGGCAGAGGAGTGAGGCCGAGGGAAGGGCCCACGTGGTGGTCAGAAGCAGAGGAGGTCTTCACCTGCCAGATACAGATGTACACCCCACAGCCCCAGCTGTGGGATTTGGAGGATCCCACCCTTGCCCTTCCCGAGGGTGGGATCTCGCTCTTATCAAGAGAGCGCTGTCCCACAGCCAGGCTGCCCTGCGCTCTGCCCCTCCTGTGCCCCGCTCCCCTTCCATTTTCCCATGGAGAACAGAAGCCGCGTGAGGCCCTCCCCGGAGACACCTGCCTCCATAGTGGGATTTCCAGCTTCCAGAGCTGTGCAGCAAAACAAGCTTCTTTACCAATTATTAAACTTACTCAGATGTCTATTTTAGCAACAGAAAATGGACCAAGACCCTCACCAAAAAGAAAGCCTAATTTTGGGTGTGGCAACAAATACCCTGCTAAAGCACGGGCTCTGCCTGCTCCCTTGCAGCTAAGAGTGGCCAGGAGACACAGGCTGAGGTTTCTGCTGAGCATCGCTATGTCCAAATAAAAATATAAAAACTCAAAGAAAGAAAAATTTTAAAAAGGGGTTTTCCCCTCTTTTAAAATTGAGAATGGAGACGTGATGCCTAGGGAGACAACCGCCGTCTTGTGAACATTAGGTAACAAGCTGAGCACAAGATCCTTATGACCTGGAGACCTGGAAAGCCCCTGGTGGCATCATGAGAATATGCCAGATATGGACCACCTACTCCAGAAGGTTTTGTCCACAGGCTGTTAGACATTTTTCATTTTTGTTTTATTTTATAATTTTTTTAAAAAACTGGGAATTGAACCCAGAGGCACTTTACCAATGAGTCACATTCTCAGTGCTTTTTATATTTTATTTTGACACATGGTCTTACTAAGTGGCCTAGGGCCTCACTAAGTTGCTGAGGCTGGCCTGAAACTTGCAATCCTCCTGCCTCAGCCTCCTAAGTTGCTGAAATTATACACATGCACCACCATGCCCAGCTTAGACTTTTGAACTTAATCCACAGATTTTTTTTTAGTTATATCAACATTCACCACTATAGAAAGCAAAACCAATAACTTCAAAAAGTACTTATTCATTTAAAAAAAATCTGTTGTTAACTTTTTTTAAAAAGTCAAAAATGACCCAATTTTATAAACAAAACAAAGTGAGTGGAGCGTGGCCTCGTGTCCCACACTTGCAGACCTTTAGCGTCTGGCTTCCCGGGATGCACTGTGTCCCCACGTTGACTTCTGCGTTGGTCTCTTGCATGGCGTCCCCAGATGTGCAGTTGGGCAAGGACCTCGCAGACCCCTGGGTCCTTGGGCCACACTTTGGCGGCATGGTGTAGCCGTTGGCTTTAATCCTACATCCTTGAAAATACAGAGAACCAAGAAAAACCGGAGGAGGAAGAGACATCCCAGACACCTGGACCAGGAGTCGAGGACGTCATCCGCAGAGCGGTGGGGTGGGGGGTTCTCGCCCTCAGGGAGAGGCAGGGCCGTGCGGTGGTGAGGCTCGGGTGCGGGCTGCTGGGAGACTTATTTTTGAGGTGAGCTTGGGAAGAAGGTGCATGTCAGATAACCAAGGAGGGGCAGCAAGTGCTTCTGTGTTGGACACTCGGGGCACCCCTCCTTGGTGGGCAAACCTTCTGTCGCTGAGTCTTGGCCTCCCGCTGCCTCGCCCAGAGCTACAGGCGCCAGAGGGCCTCTCTTCTCACATTCTGGAGGCTACAGAAGGAGCACCCAGCCGAGGCTCGCCCTTCCTCTTTGCAGGTGATGGAGGACTTCCTCATGGCAGCAGGACAGCCTCATTGAGGAGTGGTCCCTAGGTATGACCTTGGTTTCCAGTACAGACTGCCCAGGATCCCCTTGTGCTGGCTGAACTTGACCCCAGACTTCCTGCTGGTCGGAAAACCTGTGTCCCCACAGATTCTTTCTAAGGCAGAGCCTCGCGGAGGGCTGGGGAAAGCCCCTGCTCAGGCCCGACTCCACCCTGCTGCTTCCCCGTACCCCACCCAGCACCCACCACCCAGCACCCCACCCAGCACCCACCACCCAGCACCTCTCCCTGACGCAGCCTCCGTCTCCCACAGTATCCAGCAGAGCCCTGTGGAGAAGCCTCGGGAATACAGCACTTCCAAACAAGTGTCCCCCACGGAGCAGCCGGGTCTCGCCAGTCTGCTGAGGCTCTGAACGCAGGGTCCTCCCCTCACCCCTCAGATCCCCCATGTTCCTTCAAATGCAGCCACTTACACATTACTTTAAATTCACACTCTATTTGTGAAACAGAAGGCAAGGAAGTAATTCATGACTTACCGCATACTCTGTGTTCCTTTAGAACGGCCTCGTCACGTTTTCAATCCCTGGGCCAACGGCCCCCGGTGCAGCACATTCTTGTTCCTTGGGCCGTCCTGCCTCACCCCAAAGAGGTCACAGGCTTGGCCATGGGCTTTGGCCTCCAAAACGCACAGGTTGAGATGTGTCACATACATCAGCAGGACATAACACTCTGCACTGCAGAGAACTAGGATATTCGTGAGCTATATTTGTGCTTAAAAGGTTTCGCTTGACCTCCTTTTTCTGCCATAAAAAAGAACATGGCTCAGGGGATATCATACCTCCAGCCAGGTACCCAGAATACGAGTAGTGAGGAGCACAGTCAGATTCTCCATCACTCATAGCCAGACAGTAACTGTATTGGTTTCCTACGGCTGCTATTAAAAATAATAATAATA